TGTAGTAGGTTAAGTGTTGCTTGTGATACTGGTAGTCATTATGAGCACCAGTTAGTTCAAGTCCCAAATGCTCCACTTCCAGTCCAGCTCTGCTAATGCACATGGGAAAACAGTGAAAGATGCCCAAGAACTTGGGACCCTGCCACCTACACAGGAGACCTGGAGATTTGGGCTCCTGGGTTCAGCCTGGCCCAAACCAAGCATTGTGGCTATTTGGGGGATGAACCAGCAAATGGAAGTCAACCTCTCTCTTTATCAAATAGATTTTTTTTTAACACTAGGGAGAGTTGGGGCATTGTAATGCAGCGCCATCTCTTATGAAAACGGTGGAGTCCCAGCTGCCCGACTTCTCATCCAGCTCCCTGCTTGTGGCCTCAGAAAACAACAGAGGATGGCCCAAAGCTTTAGGACCCTGCACTCACGTGAGAGACTAGATGGGAGTTGCAGGCTCCTGGCTTTGGTTTGGTGCAACCACAGCCATTGAAGCCACTTGTGAAGTAAACCAATGGATAGAAAATCTGTCTTTCCCTGTCTATAACTCTGCTTTACAAATCAATAAATAGGGATTCTCATTGTGGCACTGCAGGCTAAGCTCCACTTGCAATGTTAACATCCATATGGGTGCTGGTTTGAGTCCCAGCTACTCTACTTCCAGTCTAGCTCTCTGCTAATGGCCTGAGAAAGCAGCAGGTGATAACCCAAGGCCTTGGGACCCTGCACCCATATGGGAGACCTGCAAGAAGCTCTGGGTTCCTGGCTTCAACCTGACTCAGCCCTAGTCATTTGGGGAGTATATCAGCAGCTAGATTTCTCTCTCTCTCTCTCCCCCTGCCTCCTTCCCTCCCTCCCTCTTTGCCTCCCTCCCTCCTCATCTCTCTGTAACTTTGTCTTTTAATCAATCAATAAAAATATTTTAGAAGAGGTGGTGGCCAAGAGGCCTGGGAGCACCTCCTCCAGGCCCCAGCACAGCCCCGTAGGACCCAGCAGTTATATCCCACTGATGCCTGGACCATCCCAGGCAGGCCATGGCCACGGGGCAGCAGCTGAAAGGAAAATTCCTCCCCCCACTCCCCCCCAGCTTCATGCACCTAAAACTCTGGGTTTCCATGGTGACAGATTGCAAATCCATCCAAGAGTGAGAGCCGGGCAGGGGGAGAAGAAGCTAGCTTGTCCCCAGAGATTGGAGAGAGGCTGGCGCGGGGCCGAGTGCCTGGCAGAACAGGGCAGCCCTGCAGAGGTGTGATGGCAAGGTCTCTGGGTGCTGCGGCTCCCACCAGGGGTCAGGGAGCTCAAGCCACAGTGGAGGGAGAGCAGCGGGGGGAGACTCCCTCAGCCCCCCTCAGTCCACCCATTCCACCTAATGTATTCTCTGGAAGGCTACGGGGACAGTCCTCCGGGGTTTTCCCATCTTCAACCCGGAAAATAAGGCGTGGGCGGAATACAAGCGTTCCTCGCAGAGCCATCCCAGACTCAGGCTTCAGGGAGTTAAAGGAAAGGGGAAAAAAAAAAAAAAAAACACCAAGACACCAGCCTGCAGGCACACAAGCTGCGGTGTGGAAGGTGGAGGAGTAGGGGCCAAAAGATTTATGGGCCTAAAAGCTTGGCTGATAGACCAGAAGCTTCAGGGTGGCAGCCACATGGCACCTTAGCCAGGGTTTGGGCTTTATGGCGACATGTTGGATGCAGGAAGAAGCAGTGGCTGCCTCCACAGCTGGAAGAAGCTGTGACCAGGATTGAAGGGGCCTCTCGGGGTATCTCCCTGGGACAGACGTGCTGAACCTGGGCACGGGCTGCTGTTGCCATACTGTAATCCTGTTTTCCAGGGGAAGGGGAGAGTGGGTTAGGAATGGGACCTGGGGCTGTGCCAGGCAGGCCACATGCCCTCATCCCTGGCTATGACTTCTGCGGCCTGTGACCAGAGACAGAGGACAAGCCCGCTGCCTGCTCCAAGGGCAGATCTCTTGCTTCCCTCCCATCCCCACTCCCACCCCATGCAGCCAGGCACCCTAGGGCACTGGGCGGGCTGGCAGCCTCACCTCACCTCTGGATGCCATCAACACCCTGGAGTTCCTGTGTGATGTGGTTTGTGTGTGCCAGCCCCCCCGCCACGAGGCGAGATACACAAATCAGGATCACACGGTCGCCCGTGAGCAGCCCTGCCCAAGCCACAGGAAAGCTGGCGTGAAGTTGCTGTCCCACTACAGCCATTGCAAGCCAGCCACCTGGCCACTCTGGGGCCACCAGCTCTGGTTCGCCCTTTCTAATCCACAGCAACTGTTCTGTTCCAGGGTCTGGAGGTGTCCCTGCCACCAGCTGCCTCCTCCCCCTTTGTCTAGGGACCCACGGGTTGGTGTTTAGTCAGCCAGGGATGAGTCAAAGCCACGTAAGTGCTCGTCCCGCTGACGCCACAGGGACCGACCTGGAGGGGGGTCATGGCCAAGGCCATTGAATCAGGACCCACAGAGCAACCATGGAGTGCCTTGGGGGCTCAGGTACCGGCAAGGGGGCACCCAGGTCACAGCCTCCCCTCACCCCCACCTCTTCAGAGCTCATCATTAAAAGCCTCATCACAAAAAGGCTCCTCGTGGCAGGCAGGGCTGGTGGAAGCCTGTGGTGTTCAGTGACAGGTGCCACAGCCAACGGTGGCCACTCCTGCCCCACCCTGGTGCTGGGTCTCCAGGGAGGGGACGCCTGTGGCCTCATTCCTGGGTGGCATTTGGTCCCTATCCTCCCAAGGGTCCTCGTGGCCTGGTCGGGAAACAGATGAGTGGGCAGAGAGCAGGCCGCAGTCGGTGCAGGGTATACCGAACCTTCTGCCAGCCAGGGCCTGGACACTGGGGAAGGCTTCTCAGAGGAGGTGATGATCAGGTGAGATGAGTAAGGGGCTTGGGGTGGGACTAGAGAAGGAGACAGAGGGCAGGTGTTGGCCCTGCAGGAGATGCAAGGGAGAGGGGGCTCACTAGGGTTGCTGGCTGAGCAGAGGAAGAACTGGCAGGAGCCATGGTGGGGAGGAAGATTGTCAGCACAGATGTCCCAGTTAGGAGTTGGGGCCTTGAACCGAGCAAGGACAGTAACAGTAGTGAGGAGGTAGCTGATGCAGGACCATGTAGGTGGTGACATTGGCAAGACCCGAGCTACACAGTCATCGCTGGACCTCCATGAAATACCTGCTGTGTCCCGGCTGCCGGCTCCAGAAGCACAGAGCCAGTCCCAGCCTTCTGGGCGCTTGATTCTGTGACCTGTGACCGCTCCCCATCTCCCCAGCTGAAAAACGTCCTAAGTCAAAAGGATTATCTAGAAGGCTCTAGATCTGGATGGAAGTTTCCCTTTCCCCTGCCTGGTCCCTAGAAGAGCTTGAATGCAGGCTTTGGATTCTTCTCTCCTCCAGACAGGGCCGAGGATACAGAACCTATCAGCCACACTGGTAGGGAACGATTTGGTTTTTTGTCTCCTTTCCCACCAGATGGGTGCCTACAGCTTAGGGCTGCTGAAGGAATCAAATGAGAGAGTGCTTGCTAAGTACCTAGCACATGTCAGGTGCAAAGAGCTCAATCCTTCCTAATACCTTCCTGCCCCCACCATCAGCATTCTGCATTCCATACAGAAGACCCCAACCAGACCCAACCAGACCCGTCCCTCCAGGCCCCGCCCCCGCAGCAGTCACCTGCCAGCCACTGCCTAATCCCTGCCTTTCCTGGGAAGCCAGCCCTGTGGTTCTCATCCTGTCATTTAACCAGATGTTACAGAAATTGATGAGAAGAGCCAGAGCTGTTTCATTAAAACCAAGACTTCAGGAAGCCTTAACAGGACAGACTTGCTTAGCAGAATCTGTGGGATTCGCCGTGGGCGGGATGGCTGGAAAAACAAGAGGAAGGAGCGGAAAACAGACAGGATCTGCGGTCAGGCCGCAGTGCACCTCGTCTCATGCTGAATCAGGTGGTGCCAGGCAGCCACAGCTCCATGCATGTGCAGTTCAGCAAGGGATATAGGCTTCCATGCTCATGGAGACTACAGAGCAGCTAAAGGGAAGTGTGGTGTGGCCTAAGCTGTAGGATCCATTAGTCCAGAGAACAGTGGGAACCTACAGCCAGAGCATGCTCCCTGGCCCTGCCCTGGCCCTGTGTCCCCATGGCTCCACTTCAGCTGTCGGTTGTGTGTTACTGGCACACAGTACATGGGTCAGGGAAGTTTAGATAGGAAGGAAGCTTGCCTTCTGGAATGGGAAGTTCAAAGCTGAGCAGCTACGCCTGGCAAGGGGCTCCTGCTGTGCCATTATGCAGTGGGGGCATCTTGCGGCATGAGCATGCACCCAAAAGGGGCCAGACGCCAAGGCTGACCCTGCTGAGCAGCAACCTGCTCTCTACCCCAAGCTGGTCTCTTGGGAAACCTGTGACTGTAGTCAGGGAGGGCCGTACCCCAATGCTGCTGGAAAGCCCCTGCCTGAGTTTCTGCAGAGACCAACTCCAGCCAAGCGTGCTGATGAACTGGGGTGATGAACTCGGATGAGAGCCCAGACCTGCCATCTCCCTGTAGTGTCCAAGAGGTTGGGAGAATGGACAGTAGAGGCAGTCCATCTTGGGCAAGTGCCTTGGTTTTCTCACCTATGAAATGGGCTAATGCCATTTGCTGCCTCACAGGGCCTGCAGGGCACTACCCACTGCCCTGAGGCATGGCCTGGTACCTGCCTCAGAGGCCTCTGCCTGCACAGCATTTAGCAGCTTTTGCCCTGGTGAGAAGGCCCTGGTCTGCCTCTGGGAGAAGGGGCCATGGCCAGGGGCTGGAGCAGACCAAGAGACCAAGGGTTGACCCCTCCTTGCTGGTGCCCAAGGCCCAGCTGCCTCTGCCCGTGACTCAACCTCCCTGGCAGAAGAGAGCATTCAGGCCAGTGTATTGTTTCTCCAGCCATGGGCGGAAGGGCTGGCTCTGTCCAACTGCATCCCTGGCACCTGCTGGCACTGGCTGATTTGGTGACTTCCTGTGCCGATGTTTGTCTCTTCCAGTGGTCTCCAGTGACAGTGACAGTGATTCTGACGACATCAGTTCCTCCAGCCAGGAGGGCAGATTCCCACGCTCTGGGGTCAAGGACTTGAAAGGAGACAGCTCTGGAGGGAAATCAGGTGGGTGAAGGTGAAGCCTTCCTGGGCTTCATCAGCCACCCCAGGGAGTGGCCGAGCTCAGGGAGGAGGAAGGAGCCCAGGCCTGGGACTAGCCAGGCCGGTGGGCAGCCCATGTGGAGGGCGTGGGGTGGAGACCCAGCAGGGCCACTGTGCCCTTACCCTGCTCGCCAGGGTCTCATCCAGGCTCACCTGTGAGCAGCTCCCAGCAGCTTCCAACCTTGGGAGAGCTGTGAGAATCAGGCTTGGCAGGACCAGGAGACAGGGAAGGACTCAGCCAGAGGTGTGCAAGGATTCCTCCGGTCTGTCAAAGGAGCTAGCAAGAGCTCCGGCTAGCCTCTCCTCACCTCTCCCTGGAATAACCAAAAGGTGTACCTGCCAGGTAGACCCACAGTTCCTAATGAGAAAGTTGCCTCACCGCCACCCTGTCAGACTGCTACCTCCTGCACCCATGGCCCACTAGGCATTCAGAGGGCCTGGTTATAGCCTTATAAGCCCACCCGGGGTCTTTTACAGGGGCCAGCTTGGACTCTCCCAGGATGGAACTCGCCCATGCCCCCAGCCACCTCTCGGGCAGCCAGAGCAGCCTGGCCAGTGAGACCGGGTCGAGTGTCATGGACCCTCAGGCGGGTGCTCCAACCCAAGCTGACCCACGGGGCACTGGTAAGTACCAAGCTGTTCCCTTATCCCCATGTGCCTCCCCTCCCCGTTTCTCCCTGCTGGTCATCTTCTGTGTCGACCCCCTGAGTCATCCCAAGGGCCCCAGCCACTCCCCAGGGGGAGCCCCTGCTGTGTACACCAGGCAGCCCTGTTGTGGGCTAGCCCAGGCTGGGAGCTGTGGTGCCCAACATGTACTTGAGGACCCAAATCAATGCACCCTGGGCGGAGCCCAGCCAAGCTGGCCCCACATCCCAGCGGACTGATTACAGAGCCCCTGCCCAGCCTCCCAATGTTCAGCTTCCTTTCATTGTTGCCAGAGTAGCTGGATGGCTTCTGGCCCCCATTGTGGGAAATAAGGACCAAAGATATAAGAGTGAGGACACCCAGGCTCCCCATCCTGGGGCCTAGGATCATCAGCTAATTAGGGGGTGCAAGGTGGGCATCTGGGAGCTCCTCACTGCTGAGCTAGAGAAAACCATACAAGTACAGAACAGGCCCCTTCCTTGGCCCAAGGACCCATGGGCACCTGTGTGCATCAGGGCAACTGGGGGCCTGCAGTTAGCAGCCATACACTGCCTTCCACTTGGCTCTCCCCAACTCTGCTACAGAGGCAGGAGGGAGCAGGTCTCTGGGGAGTGGGCAGCATCCCCTCTGACCTCCTAAAGCTCCCTGCAGAGGGTGTTTGGTCTCAGGCAGGCCCAGCTCTGCCACTGGTAGCCACCATGTGAATTGGCATAGTTCATACATCAGCAGGCAGTCTATGCAGTCAGCTCCACTGTTACAAAATTGCTCCATCGGGGCTGGTGTTAGAGAGGCCACGTGGATGGAGCAGAGAAAGGCTTGAGGACTGAAGACACAACTCAGAAAGGATTGGCATCTAGGTTCCAGGTCCCCACATCCATTAACTTCTCCTACATCATGAGTTCTCCAGGGATGATGACCATGGGGCAGATGTACACGTTCAGGGTGAACAGTGTGCCCAGAGCAGTTGGGGGACTTGAATATGGGCTCCCCAGCCCAGGGTGCCCTTGTCTTCTGGGCAGCCATCATGCAGAAGCTTGCAAACTGGGCAGCAGGTGTGGGGCCATCACAGCCAGGAGCCTGTCTTCCCACTCCCAAAGACCTATGAGCTGCTCACTGCGTGTGGCTTTCTCTCTCCTCCGAAGGCAAGAGGCACACCTGGGCCACCCCCCGCTGCTGATGTGGACCCCAAGATCCCTTCGGCCTGCCCTGGGCCAGGTGCGGCCTGGTGCGCCAAGCAGACTTGCCAGTGGAACTTAAGAAAAAGGGAGAAAAGCGAGAGCCCTCACCGGCAGCCCCTTGGGCTGCGACCTACTGACTGCGGAAACCAGCATTTGGGGGATGAAGCTGTGCCCCCTCCTAGTGCCTTTACGCACCCCTTCCCTGCTGACCACGCCTCTCGGCCACTGCCTTTATTTATTGTCTCCTCCGCCTGCCCCCATCCATCCCATGTGTAAGTGCACTTGAGCCCTCCCATGCATTCAAATGTGCTCTCTCTGCATCTGTGTTAACAGCAAGAAGACACAGGCACCCAGGCACCCCCCATGCAGCCTGGCCCTTGGTTAGGCCTCTGCCTCCCTCCCCGGCTCACGCTTTTGGCAGCCTGAGGGGCCAGGCCCAGTTCTGGCAAGCAACACATGTTCTCAGGTAAAGAGCCACCTTCAGCACAAGCCCAGCCGAGCTCAGAGCTCCCTGAAGAGATCGATCCACTTGCCTTCCGTGGGTCTGGCGGAGCATGAAAAATCCATCCTTCAAAGTGCAGACGGATGCTACAGGAGAAGGCCTGGGCTGGAGAGAGAGAGTGTGCGTGCACACACACACACATGTGTGTGCCTGAATGCATGCGCATGGGCATCCACACACGTCCCCTTCCTGTCACCTTCTCGCCAAGCTCGGAGCTCCCTAGCCCCCACCCCTGGCAGATGGTAGAGGACCTCACCACCACCCTAGGACACCTTGTGCTTTAGCGCGAAAACAATAAAGAGTAGGTTTTGCACTGATGCAGATCGCAGTTGCCTGTATGCTGGGATGCGCCGGTGCCATTGGCCTGCTGCAGCCCTCACCATGCTGCAGTGGAGGGGGGAGCTGGGTCTCACAGTGTCCAAAGAGCCCATTAGCTTCTTGGCCAGTGGGCAAATCAAGACCACCTCCCCAAAGGATAAGAGGAGAGCAGGCGTTAGGCTGGTGGTTAAGACACCAGCCTGCCTGCCAGCCAGGCTGCCTGCATCCCGTATCAGAGTTCCTCGGTTCGATACTCAGCTGCAGCTCTCAACTCCAGCTTCCTGCAATGGCAACGGCCCCAGGACTCAGGGCCCCACCATCCACACAAGAGACCCAAATTGAATTTCCACATGAGCTTTGGGCTGGCCCAGTCACTCTCTCTCAATGCCTTTCAAATAAATAAAAATAATGAAAGGACTCTCATAAGCAATGTTGAGCAAAGAAACAGGTGGTAGAAGAATAAATACATTATGACACCATCTATGTGCAGACTTGATTTTGAATATTTATTGGAAAGGCAGACTGTTAGAGGGACAGTGAAAGAGAACTTCCATCCACTGGTTCATTCCCAAATGGCCGCAACAATGGGCCAAGCCAACGCCAAGAGTTCAGAATTGTCTCTAGTTCTCCCAAGGAGTGGCAGAGACCCATGCACTTGAACCGTCATTTGCTTTCATCCCAGACACACAACAGGAAGTTGAATGGGAAGCAGAGTAGCTGGGTCTCCAACCAGGCATCTGGGTGTGGGCTGCAGGCATCCCAAGAAGTGGCTTAAGCTGCCACACCAAACACCTGCCGCTCAAGCTGTAATGAAGTTTCAGAGCACCTATCCTAAAACCTTCCAAAGAAGAAAAAAAAAATCATGGTCACATCAAAGGGTCATGAATTCAAATGATGTCAACATTTTCAAAGCAAAGTTTTAAGCCAGAACACAATAAGGATGGGGCCAGAAATTATCTCTAGTCCATGCTAGCCAAATCTCAGTGAAGCGTAACGGGAGAACGAAGACATTTTCCAACACGTCAGTTGAAAAGTTTTACTTCTCATGCTGTCTTTCCCAGGTAGCTACTACAGGATGTGCTCCAGCCAGACAAGGGAGAAAGGCAGGAGAGAGGATGCAGGGAACACAGGAGATTGAAGACCCAGCAAAGAAGAGAGGCAGAGCATCCAGGGTGATGGTGAGGCTGTGGGGTGAACTCCAGGCCAGGCCAGCTGACAGGGCTGGCTTGAGGGCAGAGGGACAAGGCTGTCCAGCTAGCCTGGGGAGCTGTGGGTAAGAGTTCATCCCTGGTGTTTTATAATATATCATGCATGACACAAGTACCTATTTCTTGAAAACTCATGAAATAGAATCAGGGCCTGGTGTTTGGCCCGGCAGTTAAGCCTCATTCCATGTCACAGTACCTGGGTTCCATTGCTGACTTTGGTTGCTGACTCCATCTTCATCCTCAGGAGAAGCAGGTGATAGCTTAGGGCGATGGGATCCCGGTACCCACATGGAAAAGCTGGATTGTGTTTCTTCCTGCTTACTAGCTCCTGACTTCAGTCCCAGCCCTGCTCTGGCTGTTGCAAGCATTTGGGGAATAAAACAGAGATGGGCATTGTCTTTCTGCCTCTCTTTAGGAAAAAAAAAAAAAAAGATTTGTTTAAAAGGTACAATTTATTTAAAAGACCACAATGGCCAGAGTTGGGCCAGTCAGGAATCAAGAACCTGGGGGTTTCTCTTCCAGCTCTCCCACTTGAGTGCAGGGGCCTGGGGACTTGGTACACCTCCTGCTGCTTCCCCAGCTGTGTCAGTAGAGAACCAGATTAGAACTGGAACAGCCAGGACTTGAACCAGTGCCCATACGGGATGCTGGCGCTACAGGCAGCAGCTTTATTCACTATGCCACAGCTCCAACCTGCTTTCTGCCTTCCAGATGAGCATGTAAGTTATTTTTTTTTTAAATAAAATAAGAGTAAATGGGATCAGCAGGAGGCTTAAATACAAAAATATCGAAGTAAGAGTCCTAAAGTTGCAGAGAGCCAGGCTTGGGGTGAGCAGGAGATTGCTGCTTCATGTTTTAAACCCTGTGGCTCCCCTTCTTAAGCTGTATTTTTTGTTATCTTTGTAACAGTGAAATATTTTAGTTGGAAAACACACAATCAATCAAATACACACAATATATATATACAATCAATATACACACAATCAAACTCCTGATTAAGCCAGGGGGCAGCAGGGTGGGTGTGAGAACATGCCTGGAGGAGAAAACCCATGCTGTGGGCTGCCCCCCTAATGGCTGCCTCCTCAGGGTCCCTGACTCAGGAGGGCTCTGTTTAGGGTTTGTTAACTTAAAGATGATGTGAAAGTGGCACCTGGTCAGCAGAAACCCTGCTCAGATGTTTTTGAATTACCCTGTGATTGTCCATTCCATGTGATAATTGTTGTTTTCATTTTCTTTGGAAATCAGAGAGAGATCTTTCTTTCGCTGGTTCACTCCCCCAGAGGCCTACAACAGCCAAAACTGGTTTCAGATCTACGCATTGCACTTTCAACACAGGCATTTTCCATGAACTTTTAAGACTCCCCATGTATTTGAGTCCTGGATTTAATTCTTTTGGGAGTTCTTTGGAAATGCTGGAATCATAGGGTAATTCTATGCGTAATTTTTCCAATTGTTTATCTTCATGTTATTTGAAAGGTAGAAAGAGAGAGATCATCCATCCACTCATTTATTGCCCAAATGCCCAAATGGGACTGGGTAAGGTCAAACCAGGAGCCAGGATCTCCATCCTGGTCCCCCATGTAAGTGACAGGGACCCAAGGACTGGAGCCATCACCTACTGCCTGCCAGGAAGTAAGTTAGCAAGAAACTGGAGGTAAAGCCGGGCCTCAAAAATGGGCACTGTGATAGAAGGTGCTGGTGTCCCGAGCAGCTGTCACCATCCTGGAAAAGCTGAATCACTTTGGAGAGAGGGGATCCCATGTTTTCAGTTTCTACCAGGGCCTGCATTTATTTACAGGTGGCTGTCCTGAGTGGCCCAGCTGTGTCCCTCCCTTGCGGTCCCTGAGTCCAGCCCCCACTGACAGTTAAGCCTTGATGCGGTGACTGTTAATGGGCAGCCTTGGGTGGTGACTACAGCCCCTGATCAGGCCTCTGGGGACAGGGACCCTGTCCTGGTCCAGCTGCCAGCTCTAAGTTTGTCACTCATTGCCTGCCTGTGATCTGGGTGAACTGCTGTGACCAGAGTGTGGGGGTAAGAGTTGCGGAAGGCTCCATCCTCCCACCGCCAACGCTACACCTGCTTCCTGTGAGGTTTCAGAGTTCAGACTCGTTAACCCAATCCCCCCAGATGTGCCCCATGGCACATGGAGCATTTTACACTGAAAGAACTTGAGGACCAGCGCATGCAGAAAGCTCCTTATTCTTGCAATTTACATGAGAAGCAGAGAAAGGCCCCAGGTGGCCTGGCTGGCCCAGGCCAGAGGCAGAAGGCAGGGACTCCATGCAGGTCTCCCATGTGGGCATCAGGGACACTCCTGCCTGGGCACCACCTGTCACCTCCAGGGTGTGCAGTAATAGGAGGCCAGACTTGGGAGCCAAGCAGGACTCACTCCCAAGTGCCCTGATAGGGGTACAAGCTTCCCTCTCTGGGATGCTTAACTGCTAGGCCAAACAGCTAGGCCAGAAGGCCCTTTCTGACCTGTGCTTGAAGCACCTCAGCAGTACTTGCATGGGGACTGTGGCTGAACTAGACACCCAGCCTAGAGGGACTTCCAAGCTGCTGTGAGGGGTGGGGAGGATGCCCGCAGCTCCAGTGACCAGATGGAAGCCCAGCTGTGGGACAGGTGCTCCAGATGCCAGCCAGAAATGCGATAGAATCCTTCCCAAAGGGAGTGACATACACACACATTCACACGTGTGTATGTAGCCATCAGAACATTACACATATGTGAGCTTGTCTCAGAATGTCATGTACATACCAGTACATGCACATGTCTGTGCATAGAACACATGTGTGTAGCCACCAGAACATTATTACACGTGTGTGTACACCTGGATGTCACACACATGCACACACCAGGACGTGCAGACAGATTGACCATTTTACAGAATGTTCATGACCAAAAGTGTTCATTCAGTGCTGGCTAGGGATGAGACCAAAGGGAAACTAGCACTAGCTGGGGTCTAGAGCCTGCAGGAGGACCTGCCAGACTGCACACACATTGTTGGCAATGCCTCCCCAAATCTAAATCTCAGCAACCTCTATGGAGACCACTCCTTCTTCCTCACTCAGCAGCTGCCACAAGGCCCTGCCCCCAGGCTGTGTGCTGTTGGAAGCCAAGGAGGATGTGCCATCCTGCATGGGTACCCCAGGAGGGGAAGAGCAGCTGGTGAGTAGGGAAGGCAAGAGGCTGGGGTAGGCATGG